TCCCCCCCCCCAACCCACCTGGGCCTCCTAAGCTTTTCTCTCTGAGCCACTTGCTAGAAGGCCCTTTGTCGGCCCAGGGACTCTAACCTGTTGCCAAGGCCCAGTGCTGTCCCCAGCTCCTCCTTGGGGACTAACCAGTGGAGCAGGAGTTGGTGGGGATCTAGGAGTCACACGACCTCCATGAATGCAGAAAGGGTTTCCAACCATCAAAGAGAAACCCCAAGGGCCAGGCTGCAGCTCTGCGGTGAGGCCCTGCCTGCATGGTGAACTGTGTGGTCTCCTCCCCGGCGAAACACACAAACAACACACAGTCACAGACACAAACACACAAATATACACAAACACACATGTACAAACACATAAACACCCACAAACAACACACAAATACAAAGACACACAAACACAGAGGCACACAAATATACACACAAACACACATGTATAGGCAAACACCCACAAACAACATGCGTACACACAAACACACATAAACACAAATACACACACATGTACAAGCACACAAACACACAAATATACACAAAAACACACACATACATATACACAAACACATATGTGCATACAAACACACAAACAACACACATATACAAACACACACAAACAATACAGACACAGACACACTCAAACAAGAGACAGAAACATACACAAACACAACACAAAATACAAAAATAAAAACACTCAGAAACTAGTAGTGAAGGGAAACTCAACATTATCTAAGGTATTTACGAGATGCCCACAGCTCAGACGAGTTTCTCCTCAGATCAAGAATAAACACAGGGCAGACTGGAGCAATAGCACAGTGGATAGGGCGTTTGCCTTGCACCCGGGTGACCCGGGTTCAATTCCCAGCATCCCATATGGTCCCCTGAGCACCGCCAGGGGTAATTCCTGAGTGCAGAGCCAGGAGTAACCCCTTTGCATCACTGGGTGTGACCCAAAAATCAAAAAAAAAAAAGAATAAACACAGGGGCCAAAGAACACAGCAGGGAGGGTGCCCACCTGGCACACCGTCAGCCCAGGTTCAGTGTCCAGCATCCCAGGTAGTTCAGCAGGAGTAACTCATGGTGAATTCTCCAGGAGTAACTCCTGAGCATCGCTGGGTGTGACCCCAAAACGGAGAAAAAATACAACAGAAACAAGCGAACAAAAAGAACCAACAAGGTGCACTGGTCTCATCAATGCTCTGGAGTTTCACAAGAAAGAGAAATTCAAAATGTCAAAATCTGGAAAAAGCACAATTCCCACTTGAGCATAGTGCGATCTATATGGAAGGACCCCGGGCCCCCGGGAAGTCACCATGCCTGATAAACTGAGTTGAGAAAAGTTTCTGGGGGAAGAATCAACACACGAATCAGGAGTGACTCTAGAAACAGGCGATAAATGGCCCAAACAGAAATTAGGAAAACCATTTCACTTACGTCCACAACCAAAAGAACAATATGCGCAGGAATAAACAGAATCATCGAGTGAGGGAACTGTATAGTCTATAAAGCCTCTGAGAGAATGAGGCTTAAGCAGTGGGAAGGCAGCGTGTGTTCAGGATAGGAGGAGCTGGCATCGCTCAGGGACACCTCAGATCGACCCTCCTGAAACACAAGTCTCTCCAGGAAGCCAGACTGCACAACTGAAACCCAAAATAGTTTGAGGGTCCAACTTCCTGATCCAAAACAGATCCAAGCGCCAGTAACAAAAACAGTCAGGTCCCTGCAGAGGTCCCGCCAGAGCCCTGACAGAACCAGTCTGGGTTTGGGTTTTGTTCCGGGCATAAGTGGTGCCGGGATTGAAGTCGGGTCGGCTGCATGCAAGGCAAGCTCCCTCTCCATTGTACTCCACTCGGGCCTAGTGTGAGATCTGGAAACAGGCGCATAGGATGAGGAGCAGCTGCTCCCCACAGCCCTGCGCCCAACACACTGCAGCCAGCCCATCCCCCAACCCTGGAGCCCAGCAGACCCGGCAGCATGTGTGAGTGGGGCCCCAGGTCACGTGGCAAGAGGGACAAAAAGAAGGGAATAAATCATCCTCATGCAGAAATGAAGCAGGCACAGGCCAGCCAGGCCAGAGCTCGAACAGGCCTCAGAGCAGAAGCTGCAGCGTGGGCACAGAGCTGTCAGGACGCAGCAAGAGGCCAAGACTGACGAGCTGGTCTTGGTCAGCTCAGAAGAGGCCACATGGGCAGACAGCACTCAGCAGGCGTCTTGCAAACGCCTGTGTCCGTTCCCCTAGGAGGGGGCTGTGGGCAGTCACCAGGCCGGGGCACAGTCCTCATTGGGTGACTGGCCTGCTGGCGAGGGTCGTGGACGAGAGACCGGGGGGATGAGGGTGGCTGGGCAGAGGGTGGTACTGTCCACCCACCTGACCAGGGTCAGAACAGCCCCTGCAGCACCGGGTGGGCATGAGCCAGCCGGGTTCCCGCCCCAGAGGAAGCTCGGCTGTGGGGTGGGTCCGTCCACACACTCACTGACCAGCGTCTGCGGGTGCCACTGTGGGAGCTGGACACCAAGGACAGCAGCTCCCACATCTGCCCCTCCCCTAACCAAGTCCTGCCCAAACCACAGGGCTATGCACTGCTGTCCTGGGGAGCTCCTGGGAACCTCGCAGGACCCCTCCTGGTCCCCTGCAGGACCCCCACCTCGTACCCCTAGCAGGACCCCTCCCTGTACCCCCAGCAGGATGCCTCTGCGTATCCCCACATGACCCCTCCCCGTACCCCCAGCAGGACCCCTCCCCGTACCCCCAGAAGGACCCCTCCCTGTACTCCCAGCAGGACCCCCACCTTGAACCCCTAGCAGGACCCTTGCCCTACCCCCAGCGGGACCCCTCCCCGGCCCCCAGCAGGACCCCTTCTCATACTCCCCTCAGGGCCCCCTCTGAGCTCGCCAGCCCCACCATCAGGAGCCTTGTCTGAGCCCAGAGCTGAGTGGCTCAGAGACAGGTGCAAGAGCAGCACTGAGACCCCCACCCCAACACTCTCACCCCACTCATGAGGGCAAGCTTGCAGGATGGGCAACACATCTACTGCACACCTTACCCTGTGCCACAAGGCCACCATAGGCTGGCCACCCGATGGGGAACTTCCTCAGACTCTCCAAGCCGAGCCCCAAGCCTCCATGTGCCACAGGTCAAGTGACGAGTCCCCAAACACCCCGCCTGCACCCCATTCAGTCCAAGCTGTCCCTGTCTCAGCAGCCTGGATATAAAGGAGCCCCACGTCTCAGCATGCCAGCCACAGCCCAGCCCAGCCAGGCAGAACAACGGGATACTGACAACCTGGGGCAACGTGAGCCATCCCAGCACCCCCACACGCACACACACGCATGCATCCCCGAGCACGGAGACACTCCTGAATGCATCATGCAAACATGCATGCATACACCAAACCACACATGCACATATAGGCATTCACATGCATGCATGCATGCATGCATGTATGACTAACCAACGGGTGCACACAGAAACACGTGTACATAATATACATGCCCCACGGGACAGAAACACACAGGCACACATGTACATAATGCACATACTCCTGAAACACAGGTACACACAGACATACAAGTGCCCATGTCTAGCCCTACATGTACACATACACTCATATACATGATCAAAGGCTCCATGCATACAGATACATGTGCTCAGTCACACCAGGACACATGCATGCACATACATGTGCTTGGCCACTCAGGGACACATGCAGTCATACATGTTCATCGTAGAGGCACTCACACATGTACACAAACCATCATACAAGCATTCACATGTGCATGCACATAATCATAGTGAAACATTTTCCACATAAACATATGTGTACACACATGTACAACCATAATGACACACACGTGTACACACTCAGGCACTCACACATGGGCACATGTGTAGGTACATGCACACACATAATCATGCTAGGGGGTCAGTGTCATGTCAACATACGGCCAGCAGGGGGCGCCTGCATAAGACTGTCCACAGCCTCTGCTGGGGACAGGTCAGAGGGCTCAGGGCTCAGGACACTGCCAGGGGCGAGTCGTCCTGCAAAGGTCATGACAAAGAGGGCAGAGGCCAGGAGCCCAGAGCAGCCCCAGGGAGGGCTGGCTGTGCGCATGGTGGTCCGGTCTGGAAGCCCCCTGCAGGAGGCAGCCAGACAGGACACGGGCACTCACAGGCCCCTCGCAGGGGTCCAGCGTCAAACAAAGCCGCCCACCGCAGTGCTGGCTCCGGGAGCACCGCTGGGCGGGGGGGCGTCCCGCGAGGCGGCCGCAGAACTGGGTCACCTCTGCCGCACGTCGCTCCAGGGAGAGGGGGCGGCTGCACAAATAGCCTCTTTCTGTGCGCTGCTCTCCCTGCCGCGGGAGCATGAAGCTGCCTGCCCTGCTGTGAGTCACCCAGGAACCAGCGGAGCCAGGCGACAGCTGGCTGCAGGGCCGTGGCCGCGGGGCACATGCCCGTCCACCTGGAGCCACACTCCGGGGTGGGCCTGGCGGAAGCCCAGCACCCCCGGCCCACACAGAGCACCTCGGGGCTCTGCGCCTTGGCACCGCCGCCGCCCAGACCCCATGCATCTGGGCTCAGCCCCCACACTGGGTCACCCGGGACCCCAGGACCCGGGAACACAGAGGAGACATGGCAGGAAGCGGCATCTCACATCTGTGGCCCCCCCACACCCACACCGCAGGGCTGGGAGGCTCAGTGGCTCTCCCGGGGACAGGTCCCTAAGGTCCCCGAGGGTCCAGAAGGGGGGCCCCGTCCTCCAGATGTGCCCCTGGTGAGCCAGCCCGGGGGTCCCACGTGGAGAGTCAGCTGGCAGCTCTGGCCAGCGTGAGGTGTGGGGACTGATCCGGGCCCCCCGCTCCACCCGCATGCCTGAGGCTGCTGTGGGCCACGGGAGAGCAGGTGCATGCACAGGCCAGGGCCATGGGGCTGTGGCTGCTCCACGGGCACCCGCGTCTCCCCAGGTCTCCCCGCTGCCCCCGGCCCACGGCTCGGGAACCCCTTACCTGTGCAGGGCTCCCAGGGCCGGGCGCCTCGGCCGGGGGCCCCCAGCAGCAGCAGCGCCCAAAGGGTCAGCAGGACAGACATGGGGGGGTCCGGGTCCAGGGCTCCATCCAGGGCTGCTCACGGCCCTGCGCCCCTGCTCCCCGGGGCGCTCACTGGGGCCCCCATCCCGGGGCTGGGGCGGGGGCAGGTGGGGCCGCCGCCAGCGTCTGCTCCCCGCGCGGAGCGCAGGTGACAGGTGATAAAATCTCAGCTCTGATTACTCACTGCAGCGGCTTTTCCCAAAGGAGAGACAGAAATAGACCGTCCAGGGGCCGCTGGGCGCGGGCCAGAGCAACCCAGAGAACCTGTTCTCGTGGCGCACGTCGGCCGCGCTGGGAGGAGGGGGCGCTGCGGGGGGCTCAAGCAGCCGCGGGTCCCTGCGCTCCGTGTGGCTGCGGCCGGCGGGCGGCTCCGGCAGGGCTTTTATCCGGTGCCCGGCCCTCCGAGGGCGTGTGGTTTGCCAACTGCTGGCTTTCAGGAATTTCCCTCCGGAGGGAAGTCGGCGCTTCAAGGGAACAGCTAATGAGAGCGGGAGTGGGGAGGGGGCGCAGGCACAGGGGCCAGCTCCCCGGGCTGGGGGCCGCTCCCACGGGCGTGACCGCGCTGCACGGTCCCTGGGGTCCCTCCCCCAGCGCACAGGGGTGTCCCGCGTGACCCTGCAGGGCCCCCTCTCCTGCAGAGGCCGCACAGGGCTGGCCTGATGGGGGGGGAGGGTCGGGGCGGGGGGCTGCAGAGACAGATGCGGAGCCCCCGGGAAGCCCAGACAGGGCCTGGCCTCCACCGCGGCTGGCTCTGAGCAGGGGGCAGAACTGAAAGGCAACATGACAGGCAGACGGTGAGGACAGATGGACAGGTGGACAGACACACGGGCGGGTGGACGGACAGTCAAATGCTGAGGCCAGATGAACGGAGAGGCGGTCTGGTGGGCAAGTGGCCTGCAGGTCCCGCTACCTCCTGCTCTCGTGACCAGGTGGTGAGAACAGCTTCAGGGATGTGGGGCAGCGGAGGGTGGGAACCCAGGGCCAGGGACTGGACAGACATGGGGCCCGGACACGCCCACCGTGGCTGGAGCTCTGGGCCTCAGGCCCTGTCAACACCTGGCTCCAGCATGGGCAGGTTCTTCAGTTGCAGATCACCATCCCGCTGACCCCACCCGCCATGACCCCTGACCCCAGGTCTCGCTGCCTCCGCTGGCCAATGCTGGTGCAAGGAAATGCTGCGTGCTGAGCCACCTCGCTGGACGCCCAGGCCGTGGCCACCCAGAGCCCGAGGTGGACGCACATGGCCCTGATCTGGCGGTGCTTCCTGCTCATGCCCAAGACAGTCCCTGTCCCCATGAGCACCAGGCTCGACGCTGAGGGGCCAGCAGCGCTGGGTTGTCACTGCCGCAGGGGTCAGCAGTAACCCCAACAGGCGGGTACCCAGGGAGCAGGGAGCAGTCCAGTGGGGTCCCCGGGATGCGGCCTGGGGCCGGCACAGGCCTGCTCACACAAGTCCAGGGCGTGTGCATGGTGAAACGGGCCTCCCCCGACAGGGGCCCTTGAGCCTGTCCTAGAGCACTGCCGGGCGCCTACCGCCTTCCTGCCAGAGCAGCACGGGACATCCCTCCTGCCCTCCTCGTCCGCTGGCCGCAAGAAAGGTGCAGTGGGCAGGCAGCGGGTGCAGAGGCAGTCCCAAGACCCAGCACCGTGGCGAGCGGTCACTTCCTGCTGCGGCTCCAGGACTGTCAGTTTTGAGCTTGGCCGGGGCACCGGGCACCAGCTCCCAGCACCGGGCAAAGCCACCCTCCCCACACAAAGGCTGTTCTTAAAATTCTTTACAGATTAACCCACATTAATCTAAACCCAATAAAGCGGAGGCTTTACCTTCTTCTCCAGCTACATTGTAATTTCCCCAACAACCTGCTGAAAAGACCCAGGAAACTTAGCAACCGGCAGCCGGCCTGGGGGAAGCTGCAATTATGGGCTGCACGGATGCAGGGGCCACGGCGCCCACTTCAAAGGCCTGGGTGGGGGGCGGGCACGGGCAGGGCTGTAATTAGCGGCGGGCGGGCGACCACGGGCGTGCTCACGCCTCGCGCCCCGAGCGAGCGGGGAGAAAGCCCGCGTGGCGTGCGGGCACAGGGCCGGCAGGAACAAAGCGTCACTGTTTGATGTGAGTCACGGGCGCCAGGGGGAGGTGTGCCCCACCCTGCACCAGGGACCCCCAGGGCCGCCCTCCCACCCGCACCCCTGCAGACTTGGTGCGACCTGACCCTACACGGCTGGACCGCGGAGAGGGCCCTAGGCCGTTCTGGTTCCCAAGAGCAGCCCCTGGCAGGGGGCTCGGACAGACCCAGAATCCCAGAACCTCGGGGCCTATCCACTGTGATCTAGAATCTTGTTTTCCAAGCAAAAGACGGGCCCACGCGGACACACGGGGCCTGTGAGTCAGTTTAGACCTTCGTGGGGCCAGAGAGGCAGTGCAGGGGCAGGCACTGGTTCTGCATGTGGCTGACTCAGGTTCGCTCCCCGGCATTGCCAAGAGAGCCCTGAGCATTGCTGGGTGTGGCCCCTAATCCCGCCAGGGTCCCTGGGAAATAGCATTATTTGAACCAGTAAATGGGCAGCCCCCAACTGCTGCTACCCTGACTGTCCCCCCTGGGAAACGCTGGTTGCAGACACTGTCCACGTCCTGTCACCCCTGATGCCCACAAGGACCTTTCTCACCTCTGAGCCCAGGCTCTGCTGCTGGGCTTCACGCTTCTTCCCGGAAAGCCACTGCACTTGGGGACCCCCAAAGCAGTCAGGCAGGGGCCCCACCATGGACACTCGAGACAGTTCAGCCCAGCACCCTTCTGCCTGCCATACTCACAGCCCTGGCCAGCCATGCGCAGACAGGGACGCGTAGGGCCTGGGCAAGGGTGAGAGTGCAGAGCAGCAGCAGAGGGGGACGTGCAGGGGTGAGGGTGCGGGTGCAAGAGGCAGAGCTCATGCCACTGCCACAGAACTCCCAGGAGATGCAGCCCGACCCCAACAGCACTTGGTGGTTCCCATATGGGCATCCTCACCTGCCCTTCATGGTGCTGAAAACGTGTGCAACGGCTGTACATTCACACACACACACACACACACACACACACTCACACTCATACTCACACACACAAATTCTCACACACTCACATCCATACCCCACACACACCCATACTCACTCCTAACCACACTCACACACCACATACATACACACACCCATACACACTCACACTCATACCCACTTTCACAGATATATACACACTCACACATACATACATTCACATATACGCTCACACTCACACTCTCATCATATACCAACACACATTCACACAGAGACACACATGCACTCAAACTCACACAGTTCATGTTCATATGCCTGCACAGAGACACCCACACACATGCTCACATGCTTCACAGGTGCACACACTGCAGCCTCCCCTGGGCCTGAGCCATCTACCCCCAGATGCCTGGGCCTGGGGCTTGGATCTCAGAGGCTCAGCCCTTGGGGTGAGGCCAGCACAGAGAGCCGGGGTGGGGGGGACACACACTGCCCTCTGAACACACCTGTTCAGTGCCACCCTGGCCCAATGGAGAAACTGCTAGAAGACTCCTCCTAACATGAACTCCTCAGCCCCTCAGACACACCATACACGGGACCTTCAGCCTCACAGTCCCAGTCCCACTCCACACACTGCTCACTGGCCTACAGGCCAGGGAAGCCATGGGAGTCTGACCTCAGTCCTGTGTGCATGTGTGTGTGCATAGAAAGGTGTGTGCATGTGCCACAAGGTGCATGTGTGTGCACAGAAGTATGCGTGTGCTACGTGTGTGCATGAAGATGTGTGCCACGTGTGTGCATGTGTATGTGTATGTAAGGGTGGGTGCATATGTGTGCACATGCTACATGCGTTCAAGAAAAGGTATGTGCATGTGCCATGTTTGCATGAACAGATGTGTGTACGTATGCCACATGCGTGCACAAAGAGGTGTGTGCATGTGTGTACCACTGTGCATGACAGATTTGTGCGTACTGCTACATGTGTTCATGCAGATGTGTGTGCATGCGTGCCAAGTTGTGCATGTGGGCCACATGCGTGCACCAAAAAGTTGTGTTCCCCATGTGTGTACATAAGTATGTGCACCATACCTGTGTTTACGCATGCATATTTCATGCGTGCAGTCAGGGGGTGGTATGCAGTTGTGTATTTGCTACACACGTGCATACATACTGGTGTGGCATGTGCCGCAAACTTGTGCAGAGGTGTATGCACGTGTGTAGTGTTGCGTATAGGTGAATGTGCATGTGTTATGTGTATTCATGTGTGAATACAGGTGTATGTGCACATGTGGTAAAGCATGTGTATATATACCTGTGTGCCTGTGCACGAGTACAGGTGGATGCAAACACATGTAGTATAATACGTGAGTGCAGGTGTGTACATATGATATACTATATGTATATGTGTGAGGACAGGTGGGTGTACACATGTGTGGCATAGCACACGTATGGTATAGTGTGTCAGAGTACAGGCGAGTGCTACATGCAGTATAGCATATGCCTGAGTACAAGTGGGTGTGCGTGTGTGTATGGCACAGCACACGCCTGTGAGGACAGGAAAGCATGCACTTTTGGTGTAGAGTGAATACAAGTGGGTGTTAGAGTGCATGTCTGAGTATGGTGGGGGTGCACGTGAGGGGCACAATGTGTGTCTGAGTAAGGTGGGTGTGCAGGTGAAAGACACATTATGTGTCTGGGTATGGTGGGTGTGCACATGAGGGGAACAGTGCATGTCTGAATACGGTGGTTGTGTGCATGAGGGACACAGTGTGTGTCTTAGTAAGGTGGGTTTGCGTGTGAGGGACACAGTATCTGAATATGGTGGGTGTGCATGTGAGGGACACAATGCATGTCTGAGTACGGTGGGTGTGCACGTAAGGGGCACAGTGCATGTCTGAGTAAGGTGGGTGGGTGTGTGCGTGAGGGACACAGTGTGTGTCTGAGTATGGTGGGTTTGAGCATGAGGGACAGTTTCTGAGTAAGGTGTGTGTGTGTGTGAGGGACACAATGTGTGTCTCAGTACAGTGGGTGTGCACATGTGCAGTGTGAGCAGCTGTGATGTGTTCATCCCCTGTGGACCATCTCGGGCCTGCAGGAGTGAGTCATGTGCACAGCTGACTGCCCTCAGGCGACCGTGGGGAGCTCCCTGGGCACAAGGGGCCAGGCATGTGCATGGCAGTGGGATCCTGTGCTGGGGAAACCACGTTGGCCCTCAGCTTGGCCAGGCCAGCCCGGAGGCCCCCGGAGCAGCCACTGCCTCCTGTGGGGTCCCAAGTGGCCCCTCTGGGAGGGCCACCCGCCCCCTGCTCACAGCTGAGAGGCCCTGCAGCACTGGGGTCTGCCCCCTCCTGGCTGTCCTGCATCACTGTACCCCTCAGCCTCCCTGGAGCCCCCTCAGGTTGGCAACATCACTGCACAGGCCTGTCCTGGGACACCCCTGATGGCAGCCTCCCAGGGCTCACCACAGCTGAGCCCGGTGCATCCTGGCACCTAGTGGGGCCTCCTGAGTGCAGCCAGGGGCCCAAGCTCAGCACTGCCCAGCTTGGCCATGCCCACCTCATCACTGCCCTGCACTCAGCAGACAAGGGAGGACTGACTCAGCACTGCCAGCTCTGAGCAGACATGGGGTGCAACTCAGTACTGCCTGGCACTGAATGGGGAGGGTGCACTGCCCAACACTGACCACATGGAGGGGCGCGTCTCTGCACTGCCCGGCAATGAGCAGATGGGAGGGGTGTGTCTTGGCACTGTCCAGCACTGACCACACAGAGGCATGCACATGGAGAGAAAGCCACTAAGTGGGGCGCAGGATAATCCCGCTCATGTGTGGTACAAAGGTGGGGCAGTGACTAACGCCCCCAAAGCCACAGACAGGGCGGGGGGCTGGTCTCAGGGCAGAAGCAAATCACTGTGGGGCTGGGGGAAGCGGGGAGCAAGGGGGAGCCTGACCACTACCAACACTGAAACTCACAGTGCCGTGAGATTTAAAACAAACGAAAAACAAACAAAAAAGCACAGAATAGGAGCTGGAGCAATCGAACAGCGGGTAGGGCATTTGCTTTGCACATGGCCAACCAGGTTTGATTGCCAGTATCCCATATGGTCCCCTGAGCACCACCAGGTGTAATTCCTGAGTGCAAGAACCAGGAGTAACCCCTGTGCATCGCCGGGTGTGACCCAAAAAGAAAAAAAAAGTAATAAAAGAACACAAGAGGAAAAGAAGAAAACTCTACTCTGGGGCCAAAGTAATAGTGCAGCAAGAGACACTGGCCTTGCAAGTGGCTCACCTGGGGTCAACAACCCCTCCCCCCACCCGGCACCCTACCAGAAGCGGTCTGAGTGCATGGCCAGGAGTGATCCCCAAGCACCACTGGGTGTGGCCACCCAAAGTGAGAGAGAATTCAAAGCCCATCTCCAACCTGAACTGTCACGACTTGACTTATAGCTTGTATGAATTGCAAGCTGAGTTGCAAATGACTCAGGATTTGCGTTTCAGTATGTTCCCTTGACTGTCTCTAAGGCAAATGCCTTCCTGAGAGCTGACCGATGAGTGTCCAATTTCCACCTTTACCGACCTGTTCCATGGGAAGGGCTCAAGTTCGACCACAGGGGGTACGGGTGCTCTGTGCAGGGATGGGCCGCATCAAGTGAGAACACTGCTGCCATGGGTCAAATGCAGAGGGTGGTACAGGGCCGGAGGCCACAGCACATGTCCCCTCTGAGCTGCCCTCACATAGCTCACCAAGGGGTCATGTGGGGCGCACCCACGACCCACACTGGACCACATTCCCCAGACCTGAGGCATGCAGCTACGCGGAATCGAGGGCCCAGGTGCAGAGAGCTGGGCGGGACGCGGCGTGTCCCCGCGTGTGCCCAAGGGACAAGGTCTGCACTTATGTGGGCTCCCTGAGGTGCACATGTGCAGGCAACCATGCAGGCAGTGACAGCCCACTGCTGCTGACAGCAGCACTGAATCAGGCTCATCACTTTCAGAGCTGCCAGGAAGTGGTTGTCTGACAGATTCGGGGCCGGAGTGCCAGGGTGTGCATCTGACAGACCCAGGTTGCCAGGGACGTGGGTGTGGCCATCCCCGGGGCTGTGAGAGGACCTCTCCTCGGCTGACCCCCAGAAACGGGTGGTGCCCATGTCCCCACAGTAGCCCAAAGTCTGCAGAAAGGTTCCGAGGAGCCCAGCGTGTGGGACATGCATCACCAGCGGTCTGGGCATAGCTAGAGGGCCTCAGGGTCCAGCTTCACTCCCCCAGGCACCTCCCCAGAAGGTTCCAGAAAAGGAGTCCCCAGAGACCTGGCAGGCCACACTCCTATCCACCAGGCCGCCTGCCATACTCCCCAAAAACTGCCTTCCTGGAGGCCTCCAACACAAAGTGGGGGTCCCCTGGGGGGCCGGGGAGGAATGGCTCCGGCTGCCAAGGTGGGAGGCCAGTCACCGTGGACCCCTACAGCAACACAGGACACACTAGGAGCCGGGGGGCCGCATGGTCCTGGTGAGGCTGTGGACCCGAGGTTCCACGCTGGACACCCCACCCACCAGGCACACGCCCCAGGCCCTTGCACACACCAGCGTGGCATCTTCAGCGACCTTGGAGACACTGAGGGCAGGAACACTGTGCAGCCGAAGCCCCTCATGGATCTGGGGGTCCCTGGCACCCGGTACCATGGCTGCCTGCTTGTCCATGCCACTGCCCACTGACCCACCGTGTCACTGTGAGCAGGCGTCTCCCATAATGGCAGTCAGGGCGGCGCAGAGAGAAAGCAACAGACATGGGGCTCCAGGCCTCTGGGGGGAGAGACTGGCGGGGGCCTCCACTTCTTGTCCACTGGCCAGTCACCCAGACAGCCACCTTGTGGTGACCAGACCCTTTGGGAAACACAGGGCTGCCCTCAGGACCCAGCTGCACACATGCCACGGAGGCCCAGCCTGGGACACACGGGGAGGAGAGTGGGTGCCAGAATGCCGGGGAGTGTGGGCATGGGCGTGGGTGCCGGAACGCCGGGGAGTGTGGGCACGGGCGTGGGCATGGGTAGACAGACTTGGGACGCGGGTGTAGGCAGGGTGGACAGACTAAGGACACGGGCGTGGGCAGGATGGGGGGTGGGCTCAGGGGACACAGGTTTGAACGTGGGCGGCCAGAGCGACAGCACAGCGGGGAGGCATTTGCCTTGCACACGGCCGACCTGGGTTCGATCCCTGGCATCCTATGTGGTCCCCCGAGCACCGCCAGGAGTAATTCCTGAGTGCAGAGTCAGGAGGAACCCCTGTGCATCTCCAGGTGTGACCCAAAAAGCAAAATAAAAGGAGTGGACGTAGCTGGACAGACTCAGGACAGGGTGTGGACATAGGTGTGAACACGGTGGATGGACTTGGGACACAGGTGTGGACACAGGTGTGGACGCAGCTGGCTGGCTTTGGGGGACACGAGAGTGGACATGGGTGTGAGGGTATGAAGGATCCCTGCAAACTCCTGCCCCAGTGGGGGACAGGCTGGGATGGACGTGGGGCACTGCCCTGCACCTGCCCTTCCCACACCAGCCCAGGCACCTGCCCTGGGGTGGCAGCACCCACATCCCAGCAGAGCCCAGACCAGAGTCACGTGGAGCAGGGGGCGGGTGCCGGGTCCCTGGGCAGCCACCACCTGGGGGAACCGTCCCAGGCAGCCCCTGCAGCAGGGGTGGGAGGGGCAGCTCCAAGGGGCTGAGGCAGGCAGGGCGGCAGCATCTCCTGAGCAGAGCACAGGAGGACACACGGTGCAAGCACTGTGGGACTCCTGAGGGCGCAGGTCAGAGGCTGGTGACTGTCTGCACCTACCCTGGGCAGGAGGCACGTGGCTGGCACACACCCCTCACAACTGGCAGGTGGATGGTACCTCCCTTGGGTCTCCTGGGCGAGGGTCTCGTGGGTCAGGCCACCACTTCAACCCTCCCTGACATCAGACACAAGCTGGGTGGGACATGCAGACCAAGGGTGACTACCCACCCACCCGAAAGGACCCCTGAGCTGCCCTACCCACCTCAGCCCCTCCCCAGGGCTGCTGTACCCATGGGTCCCCCGCCAACACCATCTGGCAGGAGGGCCTGGAGGGAGCCACTGTCCTTTCTCCTCTGGACAGCCTGCGTGTGGCCATGTATGCAGCCCAGAGGCTGTTTAGCCAGGCAGGGCCACCTCCGCGCAGCCCACAGGCCTCCCCCAAACGCAGAGGTCCTGGGCCACAACACGACCTGGAACACCTCTGGCCCGTCTCGGGCGTGCACAGGGCACCAAGCATTTATTCCCGCACTGCCTGTGACAGCTGGAACCGACGCCCGGGCCCCAGGTGGCAGAGCACCTGCTTGGAAACCCCAGGAGCGGGGACAAGTCTCGTCCTGTGAGGCCCCAGGCCGGGAGGGCCGCGGGACACCGCGCCCGCGCGGGCAAGGCCCCTTCAGGGGGGCGGGGGCAGCCACTGGGCGCCGCAGACCCCGCGCTGGGCGCCGCCTACAATCCCAAAGACTTCTGCACCAGCTGCCGGGCCACGCGGTGGAACTGTTCACGGTCGTCACGCCACATCTTGGACGCGTCCACGTTGGCGCCACTCTCGTCATTGGGCTCTGAAAGGAGAGAGGAACGCTAGGGAGCCAGCACCAAGGCCTGGCCCACCACCTGGGACACAGGACACTGGACACGGCCCGCCCACCCGCCAGGGTCACAGGCCATAGGACATAGCCAAGCGGTCACCCACCCGCCACACTGCCTTCGAGCCCCCAGATAAAGGAGGCAGGCTGTGGCCCAGGGCAGCAGGCAAGCTGCCAGGACAGAGGCACAGGCTGGGGCCTTGGGGGAGCAGGGCACAAGGGCGCACACTGAGGGGACAGGAAGGAGAGGCCATGTACCCTATGGCCCCACCCGACCCACATCTGTGCCTCCACTCCTCAGCCTGTCCTTACACCCCACAGTGGCCCTGTGCTGGCACGGCTCAGGGGGTCACCAGAGCCAGCGTCACACTGCCACTCAGGGCACCCAGCACCCAGCCCCCGTCACCCAAGGGTCCCCCTGTCACCCAGGGCCCCGTCACTCAGGGCACCCCAGTCACTGAGGGCCCCTGTCATTCAGGGTCCCCATCACCCGGGGTCCCTCGTTGCTCCCGTCGCAGGCACAGGATGGTCTGTACACAGCTGTGCACTCCACCCCACACAGCCCAGAGCTCACAGGTCCACGGGCTCATCCCCTGAAGCAGCCGGGGGGGTGGGGAGGGGGCGGTGTAGGCACAGGGCATGCAGGGGTGAGGCAGGAGGGGGCACAGGCTACCTGGGGAGAAGGTGGGAGGGGCAAAAGCCAATCGGGGGTGAGGCAGGAGGGGGCAGAGCCACTTGGGTGAGTTAGGAGGCAGACAGGGAGGGGTGAGGTGGGAGGGGGCAGCTGCGGGCAGAGCAGGAGGAGCCTGAGTGGGTAAAAGGGCCACCTCTCCATGAAGGCAGGGGGTCCCGCACAGCCCTTCGGATGTTATGGCCAACTGCCTGCAGGTGTTGCTGCCAATAAGCTGGGCAGGGGGGCTGGAGCAATAGCACAGTGGGTAGGGCATTGGCCTTGCACGCGGCCAACCCAGGTTCAATTCCCAGCATCCCATATAGTGCCCTGAGCACCGCCAGGGGTAATTCCTGAGCACAGAGCCAGGAGTAGCCCCTGTGCATCGCCGGGCATGACCCAAAAAGCAAAAAAAATAAAAAATAAAAAAAGCTGAGCAGGCCTCTCCAGGGTCCAAGTGTCCAGGGGGCACCTGCACCTGCACAGCCCCGCCCCAGGGGTTGGCCCAGCCCAGTTATTCCCCACAGGGCTCAGGAGCCAGGGAATCGGGAAGGGGCACCGTGGATCCCGGGTGCTGCAGCCTGCACGGGTGGGACTGGGAAAAGCAGGCAAGGCGGGGCCGGGGAGGCCAGCACGGATGCAGGCCAGCTCCCTACCGCACTCACCTGCCAGCATGCTCACCACCGACAGCAGGATCTTCTCCACGCTCTGCACCGGGCTCCACCTCTCGGCGCTGCTCTCGTAGCCCATGGGGTCGTCGCCGGGTGCGTGCAGGATGGAGATGCACACACGGCCGTCCGGGTAGACTAAGGGGTCAGAGTACACAGCTGGGGCAGCTTTCTGGAAAGTTCCACTAGGCGGAAGGCAGCGGGGCCCCAGGGCTGTCACACAGGGTCATGATGTGCGGCGGGCAGCACTATGTCCACATGAGTCGAGGGGCAGGACCAGTGACAGCCCCGGGCATGGGTGGGCAAGCCAATGGGCCTCTGTCCCCACCATGTCCGGCCCAGTGAGTCTCGCACAAACCACACAATCAGGGAAAGTCACACTGCGACACTGAGTGTCCTTGTCACCAGGTGGGCCCAAGGCCCACAGACAGAACCAAAACCCTCAGTGCACTGAGAACGAGGGCAGAACTCCCACACACCTCACGCAGCCAACCCAGTTCCATCCCCGGCATCCCTTATAGTTCCAGAGCACCACCAGGAGTGATTCCTGAGTGCAGAGCCAGGAATAACCCCGGAGTACCGCCAGGTGTGACCTCATACACAGACTCTGCATCCCCATCACAGTTGTCATCTCTGACCTGAGCCCAGAGGGAAAATGAAACCAGAAACAGGAGTCCTGGCCCGTGAGAACAGGCAGACCCCCAACAGACGGGAGGGGCGCAGAGCACTGCAACACCTTCAGGACAGCAGAACCGGGCACCCTCCAGGAAACAGGGGGCGGTCAGAGACAGGACAGCAGGGAAGGTGTCCTCCCCGCACACGGCTGGCCTGGGTCAGATCCCCAGCACCCGCCACAGTCCCCCATGGAGAGAATGAACAAGAAGACAGACATCTGTCAGGAAAGCGGTCACTATCACAGATTATCAGGAAACACAAGTCACAATGACAAAGAGCTGCCACCTCGAGCCAGTACGAATGGCAAAGGCCAATAGGACCAGAAACAGCCAGTGTGAGTGGGAAGGAGCCGCCCTAACCTAGTAGGGATGTCACTGTCCAGCCTCTGTGGGAAGGAGCAAGGGGACTTCTCATCAGAGTAAGAACAGAGCTTCCAAAGGACCCAGCAACCCCACTCCTTGGCACCTACACCCCAAACACGAACATCCATTCATTCATTCATTCAGAAGGAGCTGGGACAGCCCCAACTCGGGGCACACCTGGACACACCGACACATCGCAGCCCTGCAGCTCTGAGGAGGCAATCCTGCTGCTACTTGCTGTGACACAGACGGAACTGCAAGTGGAGGACACGGACACGTGAACCAGGTGACAGGACCAGCACTCAGCTGTCGAAGCTCCCTGGGGCACACAATGAGCAGAGAAGGGGCATCTGGGGGTGCAGGGAATCGCGCCCCAACTCCATATTACTCTGGCACTAACGCGACGAGAACAAACGTCCACAAAGTCTGTCACGGGAGGGCCAGTTGCACCTGGGTCCCAGGAGCTACCAGGGCTCCTCCGGGTACAGGCAAGGCCACTGCGTCCGAAGGGAAGACCCAGAGTGGATGGAGGGGCCCAGAGGGACCCGATGCCTGGCTGAAGGGACAGGGGAATCAGGACGGGCAGTCTGTGGGCTGTGGGCACCCCCACACAAGGGGCAGGCCCCTCCCTCTGCCCAGCCCAGGCGCCCCATGCCTGTGCCCCACTCCGGATACACCCTGGAACAGCAAGTGTGAATGGCAAAGACCAATAGGATGAGATGCGTCCCTCTGCCTGCCTGCCTGCGGGCAGCGGGCAGCAACCCCACTGCCCCGCCCCTGTCCCTGCCGCTCTCTACACGGCCAGCAGCCCACTCGGACTGGAACCCTGCTTCCCCGATCGCTCTGAGCACCCCAGCTCACAACTCAGACCACAGATCTGAAGCCCAGCCTCGCCGTCACCACTGCAGAACAGTCACTTCAGAAGAAACTTCCAGAAAGGAAAGGGCGGCCCAGCATGAAAGGTCCCCAGGCACGCAGTGCTCACGCGTGGATTCAGGCCTGGGTTCATGCCTCCTGGTTCTGTGGTGGGGACCTAGGTGGTTCTCGTTTTCAGCCAGAGAAGCAGGAAGCCGAGGGGAAGCCAGCAACTGCGACACTGGCCGCCCTCCCCGGCCCCACCATAGAGGCACTTACTGTTGGGGTGGAACATCTCACAGGTGAACCTCATCTTGGGCGGGCTGAGTGGGTAATCCAGAGGGAAGCTGAGGATGGCAGGAAACACCCCGAACTCAAAGCAGGTGTCCTCGGGGCCCCTGGGAGAGAACAGAGTGGGGGGCGGGCTCAGACATCGGGAGGGCACAGGCCAGGGACTCCACTGGCTCCCGGGACGCAGCACAGCTGGCACAGGTGGACCAGGCAATCAGCAGGGTCAACACCAGGGCGGCAGCAGACCCGAGAGAACATGGCGACACCAAGGGCTCTGTCCGCAGGGCTCAGGACACACGAGGGCAGACACGGAAACCGCGGCCTGTGCTGCCACACAAGCAGATGACCCAACCTAGGGGTGATGGGCACGGGGGCTATGCAGGAAGTGCTGGGCACACCCCGCCCAGGGTGTGGCACATGCGTGGGTTCACGCCTTCCTGGGCAACAGAAGCAGAGTAGACTGGACACTCACCCGCGTGCAGCCTCAGGGCTGCCTGCACGGACACAGGAGCGTCCCAGCAGACAGGGCCCCTCTGTTGCCGTGGCCGCCCAACATTGCCAGTGTGGACATCTCCCACCCGCTGCCTCTCCTCAGCTGCAGCTGGCAGGAAGCCCCAAGGAGCCCCAGGGCTCGGAGGACACTGGGCAGATCAGAGGAAAGGGTTTTCCCAGCCTCTGCCAACTGTCCATGGCCCAGGCCCAGCGCGTTAACAGGTGTCCAGGAAGGCAGCTCCAAGACAAAGGCCCCACTCCTGGCAGGACACGAGACGGGGCGCAGGAGCACCCCGGCCTGTGAGGGCAACTGAGCCCAGTGTGGACGCAGCGGAGTAGCTGGGGAGAGGGAGAGCAGAAGTGGCCTCAGGGAAGTGAGCTCCAACAGCTTCCTGCGGCCCAGAGCTCAGGGAAAGGCCAGGCAATGGGCCTGGATAAAAGGCCTGCTGTGATCCCCACTGCACATGGCCCACTGGGAGGCCTCCAAGGAGAGAGAACGATGGAAATGCTGCATCCGCAGAAAATTAAAAGGAACCCAAGGGATTAAGCAAAGCAAAATCGGAAAGAAAACAACCCTTTGGAAAGCCAAATCCTGGCAGCGTGTGTGTGTGTGTGTATGCGCGCGCGCCCATGTGTGTATGCATGAGCGCAAATGTGACTACTGCCTCTATGTGTGCACAAATGTGGCTGTAGGTGCACAGATGTGGCCACTTCTGCTCTGTGTGTGTATGTGCGCGCGCGCGTGCGCGTACACACAGATATGGCTATTTCCCATATATGCTCTGGCATAGTGGGTGGGAAACTGGTGTGAGGGTGTTGGCGAGCCCGAGGCGTGCTCCAGAGCAGAGTTGGCAGGCAGGTAAGGAAAGCGGAAGCACAGGGCAGCCCCCCACAGAGGCTGGAGTTGTTGGGGGCCCTGGGGTTGCTTGGGTGGGTTAAGGGGATTCTGACGCGGGAAGGAAGCATCTGGGCTCCACCATCTCGGCTGCACGACGCTGTCCACCCTTCTCCAGGCACTACAGGCCCAGACCCTCACCCCGGCTGAAAGGACAGTGCCCTGTAGCACACAGGCCCCCTGGGGCTGGCAATGAGCAGTGACGTGAGCTCCCGAGGGACACACGTGTCCTTGCTCTGATGGGGAGGTGCTGGGAATCCATGAGCCTAAGAGAACTGAGTGCAGAGACTCCAAGGGTAGAGGCACTCGAGGGCAGATACACTCTGAGGGCAGAGACTCTGAGGGCAGAGGCACACTGAGGGCAGAGGCTCTGAGGCATCAGCTCTGAGGGCAGAGGTTCTGAGGGCAGATGTGTACGCAGTGACCCTGCAGGAGCATGGAAGCGGCCTCTGACACTGTGAGCAGGCAGCTGCACCCTCCCCGCCTCCCTCCCTCCACCACACTCACTCTAGGCCCCCCTGGGTTCCCCAGGCACAAAGCGGGGGAGGAAGGGAGCCGGCAGGAAGGAGGGAGACCCCCCAGCTGTGTGCCGGAACAGAGGGCGAGGCAGACCCGGGAGGACACTTAATTCCTTAATAGATGTGCGGCGCTTGGTCCATCTGTGAACGGCCGCTTGCTCGTGAAAGGGCCTGGAACAGAACCAAAACCCACAAAGGCAGCGGCTCGGGGGCCGGGGAATTCCGCAGTGAGGCAAAGCCTTCTTCAAACATGAGCACTCGGCCTGGAGACAGGCCCGGCCCCGCGAGACGGCCTCCACACGGGTTTAACTCTCTGTTTACCGAGAGCCAGGAACGTGCTCCCAGCTGTGGAATAACAAACACTCGGAAAGCCGGCTGGAGGCTCGCGTGCCATCCAAGGTATCCCCAAGGCCTGTCTCCCCCATGAACCCGTGAAGAAACAAGGCAGTGACAGATGGGAGCGAACCCCGTTTCCTTAGAACAAAGGGCACCAGCCCAGTGTGGGTGAACACGCCCTGTTCCATGTCCACGCCCAGCCGGGTGGCCTCCAGTCTGCTCCCTGGATCCAGAAGCTAGACAGACGGGGCACAGGGACCAAGCAAGCACAGCCCCCCTGCACCCAGCCGCGAGAGAAGCAGGTGGCTCACTCAGGAACACTCGGCACCCACCAACCTCCCTGCACCCCGATCCGCCCAGGGCTGAGCCTGACCCTGCCCACATCCCACCCCTCCCCTGCAGCGTAGAGCACAACCTGTCCCACCTGAGAGGCGCCCTGGCCACCCCAGAGCACAGGGACAGAACGACCCAGCACTGCACGTCTGCGAGGGGGGTGGACTCGGGCGGGACCCAGCTGCACTCACCTGCGGCTCTTCCCAGAGGCCGACTGTGACCCACACAAGCCCTCACATGCTCTCCAGTGGGGCAGGCACGTGCCCACAGCAAGGGAGGGCAGCCCACCACCAGGGGCAGCTCCCACTGCCCAGGCTAGGCTCTTAGGATCTGCAATGTCCTGAAGCAGTCATGCAGGCCAAGACGCCAAACACGTGTGCAAGTGTGTCGGTGTGAAGTGGGAGAGAGTGCGTGTGAATGCGCATGAATGCGAAAGTGCTTTGCGAGTGTGACTGTATAGCGTGTGTGAGTGTGAAAGTATTTTGTGTGTGGTTATTGTCAATGTACGAGTGTGAAAGTACGTGAGTGTAAGTGTTTTGTGAGTGTATTAGTGTGTGTGAATGTGAGAGTGTAAGCGAGTTTTCTGTGAGTGTTCTGTGGTTTTTGTGTCGGTTTGTGTATGAGTGGCAAAGTGTGTGTCAGTGTAAGTATGTGTGAATGTGTTTTCTGTGTAAACGTGAATGTGTTTTAGAACTGTGTGACTGCGTCAGTGCAAGAGTGTGAGTTCTGCAATTATGTGTGTGTACATGAATATGTTGTGACTGCTGATCTTGGTTTTGGGGCCACCCCTGATGGTACTCAACCAATAGCTTTAGAACTCCAACACGGATGGAGGCGTCCACTGGGTGCCCCGCATAGAGCCCGCGGACGGCCATAGGACCTGAAAGCCGGGAGCAGCCCCACGGACATGTGACTCAACTTTATTAGCTTCAAATAAAACATTTTCTTTGATTTGTTTTCTTGGGAGGCCTGAGGGGAGGGGGAGTTGGGCCATACCCATGTCCTCAGGAGTGATCCCTGGCAGTGCCAGGACTGAAGTTGCGCTGGCCACATGCAAGGGCCTTCCCTGCGGCACTATCAGTGGCCGTGGACCACATGATGCCAGGGACCAGGCTAAGCCTCTATCCACTGGGGTCAGTGAATCAGGGAGGAGCTAGAAGTGCTGCAGTCCCATTACCCCTCCCCACCCCACACACACACACACACACACACACACACACACACACACACACCACAGGAAATGGAAATGCTATCCCCTCACTTACATGATCAGCGCCTCCCACTCAAAGAAATTCTCTTCATTCATGGGGCCTGCAAGGAAGAAGCAGTTCCACACTGTAAATCCGAAGGTGACGGTGACCCGGGCAGAGACCACGAAGTGAGGCTCCTGTCAGCATCTTACCTGCCACAATTCCTTCTGGAGGATTCAGTGTCAATTCTACAAGATCAAAGAGCAGAATGTTTAGTGACACTGTAACAAGACAACTACAATAAGGCAGCCCAGGGAGCTGAGATTCAGTCTGTATAAATGGAATGCCCAGGCCCCTCTTGGAAGACCACCACGACCACCCCTGCCCCAACACACACACACACACACATAAACACACACACACACACACACAACACAAAGTCACAAGACTAGACCTAGGAGAAAAGGGAAACTTCAGTGTCCACAAACGCAAAGGGTGATGTTCAAACCACTTGACTCCAAAGAACGCAATGGAAAGGCCCAGTGTCCAGGACAAGGAAATGCAACTGGATGTCACCTCCATAAGAGGCAGCACTGCCCAGCAACCCAAGGGAACAGGCCTGGACACGCTCCCCAGAGCACTAGGCCACAAGAAAGAGTCCAGTGGACAGGCCACCTGCTGCCCGGCTCTGTTCAGAGGAAGTTCTAGAAATAGCAGAACCAGTCTGAGTAGCCAGATGCAAACACATAAGGTGTCTAGCACTAAAGGCCAGGGTGAAGAGGAGGTCAAGGAGAAAAGCCCCCACGAGGGGTGGAATGTCCTGGACCGTGACCACCCAGTGCCATCTGCTTGTTTCCCTTTGTTTTGACTTTTGGGCCACAACCCGGGCAGAGGCATCGGGATCCACCGTATCCCTGGGGCTGAGAGGAGTCATATGGCAGGCACCACCTGTACTCAGGCAGCCCCAAGGTGCCATGCACCCCATGGCTAAGTGACCAAGTGTTTGCTCTGGTCCAGTCACAGTCCCTGTCCCGGCCCCTGGGGGTCTAGACAAGGTCCCTGCAGCTTCCAGAGGCACGTAGGAGGGAGGGCACAGATCAGGGACTGATGAGCACTGTGAGGGCTGCGAGGGCCACGAGGGCCGCCTGGGAGTGGAGCAGGGCTGCAGCAGGTCAGTCTGGGGGCCAGGGTGGCCAAGGGGCAGTGCCCAGTGCCTAGGAACGTGCCCCCCAACAGGGGACCATCCTCTCCCTCCTCCATCCTCAGGACGTGCCCCCCAACAGGATGGCCATCCTCTCCCACCTCCATCCCCCCCCATCCCAGGGACATGCTCCCCAACAGGGAAGCCATCCTCTCCTTCCTCCATCCCCACCCATCCCAGTGATGTGCTCCCCGATAGGGTAGTTATCCCTCTCCTCCATCCCCCTGAATGTGCTCCCCGACAGGGTGGCCATCCTCCCCTCCTCCATCCCCCCGGACATGCTCCCCGACAGAGCAGACGGGGGAGGCGGGAAGCGGCAAAGGGCTGGGTAAGCCCATGACCCTCGCCCAGACAGGGACGCCAGGACTTTGCACTGAGGCAAGAAACAGGCCTGGAGGCAGTCAGTGGGGACTGGACAGGAGCCCAGTGGGGTAAGAGTCAAGGCTGGAGAGGACACGGACCACAGGGTGGAGTCTGAGATCATGGAAGTAGGAGGGCAGTGCAGGCTGAGGGGAGCAGCTCGGGGCACAGAGAAACAGGAGACTCCAGAGACCCAAAGACAGGCCAGAGGCAGAAACTGGGTACTGCTGCTGAGACCCAGGCACGGGGGAGGGGCTACAACGGGGAGCACTCCCAGGGGTGGGGCGGCAAAGTCACCTTCAGGTGGTCGCAGATGGACGAGACAAGAGCTGTGGTGGGGATAGAGCGGACATGCCTGACACCCTTCGGCAGTGGGCCACATCTGGGGCTGTGACATGCCGGGGCCAGGTGGAGGGCAGCCCAGGGCAGTGGGGGTACAGGCGCAGGGTGTGGGGGCAGGGACCAGCCTGAGCGGGGGGGGGGAGGAGGGACGGTGCATCCCAAAGTCCAGTGCTCTCCTCGCTGAGGGAGAGTGGGCCCAGGGCCACGGTGGACAGAAGCAAAGCTGGACCCCAAGCAGTGGGCAGAGGCCAAGACCAAGCGTCTCTTGCTAAGATTCAGCAGCGGGACAGCTGGCAGGGCAGGAAGCAGGCACCCAGCAGGCAGGAGGTGACAGATGCCCAGGGCCCGGGCAGGTGCTGCAGGGACTCAAGGTCACAGGCGCTGAGGGCGCAAAGTGCAAGCGCAGCTGAGGGCCTGGCCACGAAATCATGGTGGCAGGCCCAGGCAAAGCCCAAGCGCTGGGGCAGAGGTGCCAGGAGAGAGCTGAGGGGCAGCGCTGGCCTGGCACATGGAGACCCAGATTCATTCCCCAACACCCCACGGCATCTCCTGGGCCCCACCAGGAGTCAGTCCTGGACTCTGCTGGGTGTGGCCCCAAACCAAAAGGAAGTCACCAAGACAACATCCCTGAAAGAAAGCAGGGTGTGCTGAGGAATGGGCCGGGAGCCCTGTGAGGCAGTGGTGGGCAGATGGGGGGCCACTGCTGGCCTGTGTCACCACCACAGCTGGCCACAGGAGGAGACAAGAGCCACCAGAGAACCAGACTCTCACAGCTCAGTCAGAACCGTGGGGCAAAGCACAACACCAGTGGCACCCCTGGGCCACCCAAACATGAGTGCCTCCAGGGTGGCCCAGGGACCCCCCGGCCCCACACTGACCGCTGGCCCCACACTGACCGCTGGCCCAGCTGGCCAAGAGCTGTCAGAGGGCCCTGGGCTCCCGGTGCAGCTTGAAAGGCCCCAACACCAGAAGCCCACGAATGTGGTTAGCAGACAGCAAGTGGAAGACACCTTGCCAAACAGATGCCTGACTGTGTTCTGAACCCAGGACACACCCAGGTCTACGCAGCGAGGGTACATGGCCCCGGCGAGTCCTCACGAAAATGACCCAGTGGTCCTGGGATCAATCTACTGAGAAGGCAAGCACCGGTCCCCTGGGCGATCTGTGGCCAACCCCATCCCCAGCTGAATGATGGGACAAGTCAGGCCCCCCACAACAGGAAGGACAACAGCTGCCTCAGTGCAAACAGAAAACAAGCCATCCGTGGGGAGTGACAGTCACAGGGCAGAGGACCTGGCAGTGACCTTCAGGCTTAGCCCTCCTTCCCGTCTCCCTCCCACATCTGCCCTGCCACCAGGTTTCACCATCCCCCGCCTGTTGTCACTGGTCCCCAGCTTTGAAACTGCCTTTATCCAAAGCCGAGGGCTGTGATACACAGACATGGACACCAGGCCCGTTAAACATGCTCAGATGAGACTGTGCCCATGAACTGTCCTGCTCCTTTGCTTGGTAGCTGCAGTGTCACAGAGCTCTAGCAACCCCTTCTGCTGCAGGAGTGTCAAGCTGCAGACGTTGGTCAGTACCACAGGATGGGGGTTGTTAGTTAAAAGTTGTCAAAAATACGGCGTGCCAGGGCCAAAGTGATAGCACAGCGGGGAGGACATTTGCCTTGCCTGCAGCCGACCCAGGTTCCATCCCCAACATCCCATATGGTCCCCTGAGCACTGCCAGGAGTAAGCCCTTTGCATCGCCAGGTGTGACCCAAAAGCCAAAAAAATAAAAAATAAAAAAAAAAGATGGTCCCCAAGCATCTCAAGGAGTGAGTCATGAGAGCAGAGTCAGGAGTAAGCCCTGAGGACCAGCACGTGTGGCCCCAAAGCCCAGGAAATAAATTTAAAAGAATAAGGCAGGGGCTTAGAGCAATAGCACAGCAGGTAGGGTGTTTGTTTGCCTTGCACAAGGACTATCAGGGTTCAATTCCCAGCATCCCATATGGTCCTCCAAGCACCGCCAGGAGTAATTCCTGAGTGAAGAGCCAGGAGTAACCCCTGAGCAACGCCAGGTGTGACCCAAAAAGCAAAATAAAAGAAAAGAATAAGGCATACTTCAAGAGATACCAAGTAAAGTTTAGAAGACGGCAAGAAGGCAGTAGTGGTCACTGTGCTCAGAGACATCTGGTGATCTTGGGTAAAGAAAGACAAATACCACCCGCGGAAATGCAGGAGGACGGTCTGAGGGCCAAGGCAGCCAGCACCATCATTGGGCCCTGCCGAACATGAGGCACAACAGTCCACGAGCACACACTCGCAAGCTCCCAAAGCACGGTACGGAGTTGGCATGACTAGCCATACCGCAGCTTCTGGTACTGGCCTGCTGCTAGCCTGCAGGCTTCTCCAGGGGTCTGGCATGGACAGACTCACCACGGCTGAATGGAGGGCACCGAAGAGGAATAAGCTGGGGAGGCGCTGATGGCCATCCTGGTGCCTTCCCCTGCACTTCCCAGAACTATTACTGGAAACTACGTTTTGGGGGCCCAAAAGGAACCACAGATGGAGGCTTGTCTATTCCTTACAGGACTCAACGATTCCCAGGTGTGACTCAGAAAGTGAGGAATTTAACGCTGACGTACAATGGAGGTACACTTCGGGGCAGAACGCCGCAGACTATCTGAATTACCTCATGGAGGATGAAGATGCCAACAAGAAACAGTTTTCTCGGTACATAAGGAACAGCCCAACCTGGATGTGATGGAGGATGTGTAGAAGCAGCTCATGTGACTACACAGCCAGTCCTGTCTAGGAGATAACCCCACGAGAGAAGTGAAGAAGAGGTGGAACCATCCAAAATGTCTCTAGCCCAGGAGAAAGATCGGGCAGCACAACAACAACAACAAAAAAGCCAGTTTCCCCAGAGCTTAAAAGCAGACTGCTGGGAGCTAAAATCACACCATGCTTTTTTAAGTATTTAAAAAATCTAACCGGGCCCGACCCTGCTTAGCTTCTGAGATCAGACGAGATCAGGCGCATTCAGGGTGGTATGGGCTGGAGTGATAGCACAGCAGTAGGGTGTTTGCCTTGCACGCACCCAACATGGCCAACCCGAGTTCGATTCCTCTGCCCCTCTTGGAGAGCCCGGCAAGCTACTGAGAGTATATCGCCCGCACGGCAGAGCCTGGCAAGCTCCCCGTGACGCATTTGATATGCCAAACACAGTAACCACAAAGTCTCCAATGGAGACGTTACTGGGCCCGCTCGAGCAAATTTAAAAAATCAAACTCGTGTCGGCCATACTGGCTGCGTGCAAGGCAAACGCCCTACCCGCTGTGCTATCGCTCCAGCCCATAATAATGTAACCATGCCCCACCTGGGAGGTCAGCGTTGAGGAGCTAGGGAGCGGGTCCACATGTCCCAGAGACCTCAGGGTCTATGGTCAATAGAGGCCACCGAGGCCACTGGGGAGGTGGGCATGGGGAGGAGGCTGCACCCCGACTCCGAGAAGCCTCCCCCCCCCCCCAAGCTCTCGGCCTGGGACCTGACGTGACTCAGTCTGGTGTGCAGTGAAGCGGTGGCACTGCCGCAGCTGTGCTGGCTATGGCCACGGGGACAGTGAGTGGGGCACTTGGCCGGCCTCCCAAGAGTTTCTGTGGATTTTAGCCGCTTAACGTGAATCTCCTCGGAGATTTAGCAGAGAATGGACAGGGCAAGGCCAGTGGGTGAGTGACACTAAAGGGGCTCTTGGGTTGGGTTTTTTTTGGGGGGGGGCACACCCAGCAGTACTTAGAATGCAAGGGCGGCACCTTACCTACTATACTATCTCTCTGGCCCCTCAAACCAAAAATTGTTAATGGAAATTTAAAATTTAAATTTAAAGTTATAAACCAAGCAAAATAAATTTTAATTTAAAAATTAAACAGTCCATTCTTTTACTTTTTATTTGAGGGGGGAGCCTTTGAGGCCACACCAACAACGCTCAGGGCTTATTCCCAGCTCTGTGTTCAGGGATCACCCCTGGTCGAGCTCGGGTGACAGGCAGTGCAGGAGACTGAACCAGGGGCAGCGCAAGTGCCCTCCCTGCTGGCCCATCTCTCTGGCCCTGACCCCCAGTTCTCTGCACCCCCAGAAGCACTGCACGGGGCTGCTCCACAGGTGCCTGCACTGCTTGGCCCCGCTGTCGGGGGTGGCTGTGCTCATCAGGGCTGTCTGCACCTATAGGAGGCACCTGGGGCCCCTTTAGGGTACAGTCTGCCGGCCCGGTGTCTCTCCTCCGCTGGTGCACAAAAGCTTGGCCCAGCCCCCCACTGACCCTCAGCACCCGTTCCTGTTGCCTGGAGGGAGCATGAGGTCCTGCTCCCATATTTGTCCTTCGTGCATCAGGAAAGTGTGTTTGGGGGGTGGAGGGGCAGGAGGGAGGCACCAAGACGGCCAAAGCTGCCACAGGCCTTTCTTCCCCCTCAACTGGTCTTGGTTCCTTTTCGAGCACTGCACCCTTATCACAGGTGGTAGGTGTGCATAGGACCCCCGCGGTGAGGCTTGCAGGCCCTCGAGGAAAGCGGGGGGCAGGGGGTAAGTGGGCCGGACTGAGGAAACTCTGTGCTGATGGGCAGCAGCTGCTCTGGGCCCAGCTGCCCGTCCACTCCTGGCTCCTGGTCTTGGAGAGGGCCTTGTGCTTTGACTTTTCAGCTTCCACGGGGCTCCCCAGGCCCCCTTCAGGAATCAGCAGGCTGACCCGGTGGCGCATGCACAAGGTTGAGGCAATACACAGGGGAAGAGGGGAGGCACCGCCAAGCCTCAGGCTGCGCCCAGCACCTCCCTGCGCCCAGTGAGCCCTTAACTGGAAGGGGTGCACGGGTCCTGCTGGGCTGGCAGTGCTCGTGTGGAGGCCACCCCTTGGGAGAAGAGAGTGGTCGTGGGACCAGGCTGGCTGGGGCTGTGCCCTGGGCCTCGGGGGCACTGAAGGTGGAGCTGCAGGCCCAGGAAACAGCCTGGTCCTACCCGCTCCTCCACCCCTGCCCCCAGGGCCAGAGAACGCGTCTCTGACCCTCCAGGAGTGGGGTGACACATGCAAAGTGACAGAGACACAAGATGTGGGTCTGCACCTCAACCTCCGACAGCATTCGGGCTGGAGCCGCTTCTAGGACAGTGTCCCGACCCAGTCCAGCCCCACCTCTGGCGTCCTGAGTCTGTGCTATGATCCCCGAGCACAGAAAGGATTATGAAGATGCTCAGAGAGAACACATACCTGTGCCTAGCATTACCTGTCACTGACATCACAAAGGTGCCCATCCTCCGGGCTTCCGCACCGGCCACTGCTGTCCCCCCTGCTCCTGCCATCCCCCTCCCTGTCCTATCCCCGCCAATGCCATCCCCTGCCCTCCTGTCCTCACCATCCCTGTCCCTGCCCAGCCAGCAGCTTCATCCTGCCCTGTATCCCACAGAGCCACGCCCTGGTCTCCTACCACTGGCAGAACTCAGTCCTGGTGCTGGGCGTGGGTGGTCATTCAGGGGCTGCCGGACAGGGGGGCGTCAGTTTGGCCCAACCTGTCCCTCTGTAAGCAGAGTCCAGGGCCACACTTGCCAGACACTTAGAGGTGACGCCCAGGAGTCACAGCGCCAGGCTGGGGGTGAGGGCCGGCCACCACACGGGGGCCAGCACGGTCTGGGGGCAGCTGCACGGCCTCTTGGCCGCGGGAGGACCCAGCTTTCAACCTAGAAAACGAACAGGGCGCGGGCGCCTCGATCCAGGCCCAGGCCGCTCCCACGTCCCCTCGCACGAGGACGCGTGTGCACGTGTGTGATGCCCGCACCTTCGGACAGCTGGCCTCGTGCGGCCCCACGTGTACATGATTCGCCCACACCTGGCTACAAGTTTGGCCTCAAGTCACGCGTGCACACACGGGCCGTACCATGCACCGGCTACCTGCACACACGGACAGTGCTGCGTGCACGGCCTCGGGTCGCGTGTGCTGCGTGTGTGCATGTGGTGTGCACGTGTCTCGGCGCGACCCCTGTGGGCGTGCGCGCGAGCGGGCACGTCGGGTGCGAGGGAACGTCGGGTCTCACCGGGCCTGACCGGGCCTCGCGACCCGCGCCTCCGCGCGCCACGCCCTGGGCCCCACCCGCGCCGGGGCGGCCGGCCGGCGGACTCACGTTTGTACTCGGCCATGAGCCTCTTGAGCGCCGTCCCCGCCATGCTCGGGCGACAGCGGCGCCAGGCTCGCTCCTCAGCGCCGGTCGCGCCCACCCCACGCCGTACAGTTTCCGGGCGGCCGCCGGGATGCCGCGTCCTTCCGGCCGGGGCGGGGCCTGCAGGCGAGCAGCGCGCGTGCGTAGGACGGTCGGGGGGCGGAGCCTGCGCTTAGGTGGCGCGGGGCGGCGAAGCGAGGCGTGCGCGTGCGCAGGGAGGGGCCGCGCGACGGCGGAGTTACGGCGCTTGGCTGCTTCCCGGGGACGCCCCGGCGGGCTTTGCCGCGCTGGGGAGAAAGTGAGCTAGGTGGGAGGGTAAGGGGACAGACTAGGAGCGGGGAGGTGGTGCTGCGGTGTGGGCGGCAGAGGGACTGGAATAGCTGGGCCCAAGAGCACGCCACCGGCTTGGACCCCTGCACGGTCGGTAAGGGAGCGGGTGGCCCTTGGGCCCCCATCATTGCTGGGAATCACGCTCACCCGCCGCAGCGCAGACCGCGTGGCAGGGGTCTGCACACTGGAGTCTGGAAGGGCTGCCCCGGGGCCCAGACCCCCACCCTGAGACCCTCCAGCGTGAGGATTCTGGGGAGGGGGCCCTTCCGTTCTGGGGCTGTGGGCCACGCGTGCCCCGCAGGGTCCTGGAAGCTTCCCGATCTTAGCTGCCCTGTCCAAGGCCCCAGCACTGCAAGGCGTGCTCCCCAGCACTTGCTCCCCAGCACTTGCTCCAACGCCTCCCCTGCTCAATGGCGCTCTAGAAGTTAGTGCAGGGTGCGGGTGCCCCAGCGTGGTTCTGCATAGCTCCGGTTGTGGGCACGTATCCACGTACGAGGCAGCACCAGCAAACAGGCCTACAGCAGGCTTCGCAGACCCACCCTGTCCTAATCAGCTGTCCATCCCGCCGACACAGGGAGTCAGAGGGCAAGGCGCCCTCTATGGGACACGGGGCATGCACGCACGTGGCATGGCTCAGCATGGACTCCTGTCACCCAGCTCTGCCAGAACCTTACCTGTTGGCGAGCACCTGCTGTCTGGCCCACGTCTCCCGTGCAGTGGGCACTACCCCGATGCAGTGAGGGAGCCCGGAGACAGAATACCAAACTATATTTACTGTTTCCAGTGGGGAGAACAGAGCGGCCGCCCAGAGGCCATGTGGCCACGCCCGGTCAAGCAGGCTGAGCCACCATCCTGGAAGGTCGGAACAGGGTGGCAGGGGGTCTGCGGGCAGGGGCCGGGGTCTGGGGCACCGGCAGGAGCAGAGCCCACCCTCTGCCCAACATTCCGCCACTGATGGGAGGCCAGGCTCCCCATCACAGTGGCTCCAGAGCCAAGCACAGCCACCCACTTCCTTGGGGCTTAGAAAAGGGCAAAGGCAGTTGGCTGTGCCAGCCTCTGCAGAGGGGGCCATGGGACCCCCACTCACAGCCATCATTCCCATACTCGGCACTGCAGACTGCGCCCACCCCCTGCCCGCACGACACAGTGCTGGGGCACAGCTGTTGGCTGTCCACATGGAGAAGCAGGGCAGGCGCAGGCAGAGCTGGCCCGGCCCACCAGAGAAGGGGGTGTCCAGGCCACAAAGGGAACAGGAGCGAGCCCCCACACCGCGGCCCCGGGCAGAGCTCTGACAACAGGGAGGGGGCACGGGTGGCGGTGAGTCCTGGTCCTGCGCACTCCGGGAAAGGCTGGGCACGGGTCACTACTGAGCAGCAAAGGTGAGAACAGAGACAAGGGGGCAGGTCCCTACAGGCGGCACCCCACGGGCGAGCAGGGTGCGTGCCGGCCTCCTGTCTGCTGCTGGAACACGTCGATGGTGTCTTCGTCCTCCATCTCCAGCTGCGGGCAGGACGGTGGGTGGGGGTGTCAGTGCCCCTTACTCCAACAGCCCCACCCCACCCCGCCTCCTCCCACAGGGAGTGGGGCCTGGCCCAGACAGGAAAGAGCGGAGAGGGAAGTGGCTCTGCCCTGGCTTATCCCTAACAAATCATGAAAGAGCGCCAGGGCGATGCTCAGAGGCCCGGGTCCCCAGCCTGAGCCGGGATGACCTGACACAGCAGCAGTGGCCAGCCCCAAGACAGAATGTGTAGACAGAAAAGATACCAGAAGCTCGAGAGCTGACAGAAGAACAGGGCGTGCCCACGCTCCCGGAGACTGGCAGCACAGCAGCCACCAGAGCAAGGCCCCAGCCTCCCGGGTTCAGGGCACCCTCACGGAGCCAAGGGAGCAAGGGCCTACCCCAGAGCAGGGCTGGCAGCGACATATGTGCTCTCACATGTGTGCTCACGTTCATATGCCTGTGTCCGTGCACACATGTTTGAGTGTATTATGGGCAGGTGTGCATGTGTGCCCATGTATTCATGCATGCTTATGTGTACTCATGTGTCTGTTCACAGGTTGTTTACGCACACATGCATGCACGTGTGTTCATGGGTATGCATCACAAGCATGTGTGCAAGTCGTCATGGTATACTGTAGGTGTGTTCACATTTGTGCTTCCACAGGTGCTTATGTGTATTCATGTGTATATTGTATGTGCGCACATGTATTCATCAGAGTACATATCTGTGTGTTGTGGGCTAGTATAGGCATATGGGTGTTTGCGTGTGCATTTGTTCATGTGTATGGTGTGTGTACATACGTATTCACGTTTGTGTGGGCATCTCTATCTTGTGAGCCTTTGTCTGCACATGGGTGCTTGTGCATGCATGTATTAGTAATATTGTATGTGTGCATGTGTTCACTCATTTGTGTGTCTGTTCATGTGTTGTGGGCATGTGTCTGCACTGTGTTCCTGTCTGCATGCATGCATGTTCTGGTATCCTCTTTCCTGCCTTGCTGTCAGCCAGGGTTTTCACATGTGACTACAGATTCCATGAAGCTATGCCTGTCCGGGGATGACCAGCAGCCATCATAAAGCTGATGAAGGTTCCCGAGCCCACTTAGCCCCTCCAGGAGCCCCACCAAGAGAACCACAGGGCCCAGCCATCCCCCTCTCCTACCTGGGCTGGGGTGTCTGTTTCATTAATGGGCTGCCCGTCGAACCGGAATCTAATCTGCCTCATTGACAAGCCCTAAAAGAATAAAAACCCTGGTCCCTGTTTGCAGTCTGTCCCGTGTTTGGGCAGAAGGTAATCAGAGCCCCGCACACTTACTGGACCATCCAAGATGGGACCCCCTCCCTCCCCACCACCTGCTTTCCGAAACACCACGCCCACACGTCAGATCCCTCCCTTCCAGCACCTTCCATTCCCAGGGAGCCTCCCACACAGCCTCCTACAAGCCCAGCAGTTTCCAGCTGGTGGCCCCAGACATCTGCAGCAAGTTAAGTGCAGAGTGGATGGGGTGTGTCGGGGCAGACACCACCTGTGGAAAGGCAGTGCACTCACCCCCACAGGAGGCAGGAGCAGCAGCAAAGAACATAGCCCCCACAATAAGGGAACACGCAGCCAAGTGCAGGGTCACTGAAGAGGGCACACACACATGAACACACAAGAGCACACAGGCATGAAGGCACATGAACACACAAGCACACATTCTGGGCACATGCATACATAGGCACACACAGTGCACAAATGCATACATGCAAGGCACACATGCAAGAACATTCATGCACACACACGGGCACATATGCATGCACATAGAGTAGGTGCAAGCAGGCACACGCACAGTAGCATACATATGCACGGGTATACACAAATGCATACACACAAGCACAGGCACACAGGGATGGAAACATGTGTACACACGTATAGGGCATCCACATATATGAGCACACTCATATAGGGCACACATACACGAGCACACAAATGCATGGATGTACACACACATGGGCACAGGCACACATAAGCACACTCATGCATGAACACGTACACAGAGGCTCATATGCACACTTACATGCACAGGTTCATGTACACTCGACCAAGCATACAAGTGCAGGTACACATAGGTACATGCACGAGTGCACATATGCATCAGCATAAGAAGACAAACATGAGCACACAGGCATAGTACACGCACACATGCACATGAACACACATATAAGCGTGCACACACACATGCATAAGCACATATGCATGAACATACAACGGCACATGAGTAGACGTGTAGGTGCATGCATGCATGACTGCATGCATGAGCGCACATATGTGTGTACCTATAAGCACATGCACACATGGATGCACATGATTGCACATGTGCGTGAGAACACAAGTGGAAAAGTTCACAAGACACATGAGCGCATGCACACACCTGCCGCTCGCAGTAGGCCTTCATCAGCTTGCTCAGCGGGGTGTGTCTCTTGATCTTGAACTGCACCACGGAGCCGTCCTGCCCAGCCACCTTCAGGTTGATGTGGTCGTTCTCGGTCTTCACCCCCTCCTGCAAAGACACCGCACGGCCTCCAAGCCCGAGCCTCGCCTGCTGGGCAGGGCGGGGCCTCGCTGCCACAGGGCTCCATGGGCTTGCCAGCTGTTGTCCTCACCAGGGGCCAGAGACCCATGTGAGCATGTCAGAGTGGCGGCTGCAGCAGGGGAACCCAGGATGAGCCCAGAAGCGTCTCAGGTAGGGCAGGCCATGCCCAAAGACACAGGTGATAGGGCGCACACACACACACACACACACACAGAGGGTCCCCTGCTCCACAGCTTTATGGGACCACCACACTCTAAGGTGCAGTCCCCACCCCCAAGCCCCCTCCCTGGCATCCCACCACCAATGCCTGTGGCTGTGGGGGGCAAGGAATTTCTATAACCTGAGCAGTTCAGCCCAGGGCCTTGGCTGGATGAGAAGTGAGCAGCACCAGGCAGCTGCAGGCCCAGTCCTGACCCTCCACATCTGTCCCTGGGTAGCAGAGCTTACCCTGAGCCGGGCCCCGTGTGATGGAGCCATCCCTCAGCCTCTGTTCCTCAGCGCCTGACCCTCAGTGGGAGCCTGGTACACACAGCAGTGTCTAGGGCCTCCCTCCTGCCCCGACTGATAAGACAGTGGCCCTCCCTCAGGGCCACAGCGGCTGCCACTGCACTAGCCCTGGCCTGACACTGCCAGATGTAGCTCCCTCCGATCCCAGTTAGGACTTGTCAGATCTAGGACTGGCTTCGTCCCCCTGTGTGCTGTGTTTTT